AGTGACGGAAAGTTTCACTTCCTCGACATTGCCATGGAACGCCTAGAAGACGGTAGTCTTCAAAAGTCAATTTATCGAAAGCTTACATGGAAAGGACAATACTTACATTTCAATAGCTTTTGTCCAAATAGCTTTAAACGCGGTCTAGTCAAGACTCTGTACTATAGAGCGAGAAGAATATGCTCTATAGAGAAATTAGAGGAAGAATTTGAGTTTCTTGAAAAGACATTGAAGAGAAATGGATACCCTCAAAGGTTCATCAACAAGTATGGAAGATCTGAAGTCAAAAATGTAAAACAAATCACAGTGGAAAAAAGCCAATCTACTTTCAGCTTGATTATAAAGGTGAAAACATTACAGCGATGATCAACGGAAGGCTGAGTACGTCACTAGCTATAGCCTATCCTGCAGCCAAGCTCGTTCCCGTCTATCAAACAACTTGCTCTTTGGTGCCATCAAAAATCGATAGATATCCCTCTCATGTGAACTCCAACTGCATATACAAATTTACATGCATCTGCGGGAGCAGTTACATTGGAAGGACAGAAAGAAGGGCATATCTACGATTTTCTGAACATGTACCAAAAAGCTTACGTCTAAAGGGAACAAATTCTTTAAACAGTGCCATCGCCAGGCATCTCCTCGACACGGGTCATGAGGTGGAAATCGAGAAATCCTTTAAAATTATCAATAGACAAAGGAGCTCCATTCTCCTCAAGTTTGCCGAGGCAATTTCTATCAAACACTTCAAACCAGATTTATGTGTTCAGAAAGAAGCAGTTGTTAATCTTTCCTTGCCATGGTAACTGCATGTCTTTATTCTCTACTCTGATTACGTAATCTTTGTCTTTAACATCACTCCTCTTCTTTTTTTATAATCTGTAATATTGCTTGTCTCTTGTTTCTGTGACGTGACTTGAACTCAGTACATCGTTACCAAATTTATTAGTTACTCATCATCTTACTCACCTCTCGTCTTTTTAAACGTAACTCCTTTACCATTGTATGCGTACATTTATTTTGACTTGAATGGCCTGTGTAAAAACTATATAAGCACAATTTTCTGAACGCTTTGATAGGTTGGTTGATAGGTTACAGGATTTCATCATGAGCTGACTTTGGTTACAGAACCATTGGAAAACCAGCTGGAAATACTGAACAGCTGTATCTTCCTACTTTGGAACTCTTCATCAGTACGCACCCGCCGAAGTTCGAACCCAGGACCTTCTGGTTAGAATTCATGAGCCATTGGATCTGGTTCCAGTGGCTTAATGGTCCACGAGCTCGCCTGGTAGCCAGTAGGTCCTGGGTTGGAACCCCGGTGGGTGAGTACTGATGAAGAGTTCCAAAGTAGGACGATACAGCTGTTCAGTATTTCCAGCTGGTTTTCCAATGGTTCTCTAACCAGTGTCAGCGCATGATGAAATCCTGTAACTTAATTACTGATTGATTAGTTCACTTCCAGTATACTCAGTCTGCGTCAGTCATTAAATTGACTTCGAATTTGGATTTCGCCGTGAAAGGAAATCAACTATAGACGTACAGAAAATCATTAGGGAGTACTGTTTCTTCTTGGTTTGTGAATATCCATCTACAATTCTAAGACTACGTGACTAACTCATTGGAAATTTAGCTACTTGGACTTGGAATTCATTGACCTGTAAATTCTAACTTCTGTCAATTCATGTAGTATAATGCTGCCCCACCCCACCCCCCTACCGAAATCCACGGATGAATCTCCACTTTACCCTGACATGGTGGATACCTGCACCCACAACTTCATATGAAAACATTAGGACACCTATCCTTTAGACATTAATGATCTGTAGAATAAAATATTCAAAAATTTTTAAGTCTTCTGTAACGATTTCGGATTAATTTCTGTGTAGTTTTCATCGCTGACGTCCTTCATGTCGCCTCTGTTTCATGATATGATAACACATACAAGGAAGATGATGATGATGATGGATACAAATTAAATGGAAATCACACATCATTAACACATGCAAAAATTCAATAGTATTGTAAACAATTCAAAAATACAGCTCAACTCATTCAACATTTAAATGTGTATATTGAAACAATAAAACAAAAAGCATTGAAATATTGAACAACACAACTTAAGCTTGGTAAACAACACCAGCAGCACTACCACTGCCACCAATAATAATAATAGTAATAATAATAATACTGATTCTAATAAAATTGCACAAACAAAGAACGAACCTCAACAACAACAACAACCTGGAGAGTGATTGTTTGCTTAGTTTGTTTGTTTGTTGTTGTTGTTTTTGTCGTTGGCAAACTGCATTTATTATTTACTGTATGAACAAGTGTAACTCAAGTGTATTATTGATTCTAGTTTGGTACAGATTACACAGAAAATTGTGTGGTAAACACCTTTTTTTCTTTTGTTTAAGTTCACTGCCATTTTATTTGATTAACACTCCATGGATGAGAGGTATTCAATGTGTTGATTACAAGTTTATTTGCATATATATATATATATATATATATAGACTTGTTGACTTTAACTTTGTCAAGTGAGAATGTCTACAATGTTGGAATTGATTTTTGGTGGTGTGAGCGCACACCATTCTTGAAGAATGAAATAAAAATAGTTAAAAAATACACATAAATAACGGTTATTTCATTTTCTTTTATACACTTGATTTATTGACTGAGTGATGAAGCAATCACACAGACTGGTACTATCAGGTGTTAATATTGCCACTCACTTAAAACACTTTATAGCCTTTCCACTAGTTCCTGTCCATTTTACACCAGCTCATTGATTATTCTACGAGTTGATCACGGACTGATATCAGTTAGAGAACCAATGAAAACCAGCGAGTACTGGACAGCTGCTGTTTCATCCTAGTTTGGGAATCATCGGCAGTACGCACCCACCTACAGGGTTCGAACACAGGACCTTCCGGTTACAAGGCAAGCTCGTATACCATTCAGCCACTGGGACCCAATTCAATGGCTCATGAATTCCAACTTCTACCAATTCGTGATTGATTATTCATTATCTCACACTTATTATGTCATGCCAACTTCAATCTCCCTTCTAACTTACAATTAGTCATCCCTTCTAGACTACACCTTACATTATGTAATACATTTTTCCAAGGACAAAATTCACCAGTATCTGGTTGGTTTAAAGACTTTTTTGTTAATTATAATTACGATTGTACAGCTCATGAAAATGAATCGTCGAAAAGAAAATTTTCTTCGCTGTTTGTACCTTTTTTATGACTCAATATGGGAATATTTCGTTCATTAAAGAACTCACTTATGCTTCAAATGGAAAATAGATGTATTCAATCTCCTCAGCTGTTTTTCTTTTTATTGCTGGTCCCATAATTGTCTATAAGATTGCACTTCCTCTTTACCTAATCTCCTTCAAGTCAAACTCGTCGTCACCTATTGGAGTTTCACTCAACAGTCTTCTCAAAGTGTCTCCGATAGATTTCTGTCTCATTCAGCATATTCGTAGGGTTCTTGGTTGACTGATAAAATTCAGTCTGCACCCAAGATAGGACTAGACAGATTACACTAGTTACTGACTAGTGTCCAATCAAAAATACCCAATACAGTCCTACAGGAGATCAATCGCTAGCCCGAATAGCTGGCTGAGTGATAACGTCTCTGACTACCAGTAGCACTGGGTGACGCGGGTTCGAATCTCAGAGGGTTGGGACGTGAGTCCTTTCAAGGTTGAAGATATGCCTTGCTGACTGGTGAGTGTTAGTCAACTAGCATGAAACCTAGGTGATGGCAATGCTTCCTGCCGATTGCCTCCAACCATCTAATACTACGTGAAGTGATATTGCGATTATAAAAGTAGTAGGTCAACTGCTGTCTAAAACAAATCAAGAGGATGATGATGATGATAACAATAAAGACGCTGAAGATGAAGTGAAGCGAAGTGAAATGAATTCAAATGGTAAAATGAAAATAAAAGAACACAACTTCAACCAAGGTAAAGTAATATGATTACACAATGCGTTAAGGATAAATTGCCGCTTATGTGCCTCCACCTCTATGTGCATATACTCATTCGCATGCGCTTATGTGGAACTGATTACATTGGACGTCGTAAGCGTTTTCTTCTTAAACGTATAGCTGAACACTACCCAGTTTGGTTAATGAAAAGTGAGCATAGGACGAGAAAGTTTTCAATCTGTGAACACCTTCTGGAGTTAGCTTATTCGGAACCCCATAGGTGATTTATCATTTAAAGTTATCTACAAGACCAAATCCAATCAGTACAAAAGCTTGCATTTCCTTCACTTATTCAAATCCGAAGCTCTAGCTATAGAACGACGGGAAACCCAAATTATGTGTTCAAAAACGTTTTGTGAAACCCCTTTCTTTACTTTGGTCATAATTATGTTCTTTTATTTTACCACTTGAATTCATTCCACTTGACTTCATCTTCACCGTCTCATTGTTAATTTTTTACAAGAAACTTAATCTACAGCTTTGAAACCTTTGTACCAGTTCGATTATTTAATAATCTTTGAAAGTTTTGTAATTCATCCTCTTCAACTCTATCCCCTCAGTACGTCCTTTTAAATATATTTTTGCTTTTGTGTCTTCTCAGTGTCTGAATAGCGATTTCAGCTATAATTAGCCATGCTTAGAAAACGATTTACAAGGTCAGATACATGGACTTACCACAGTTTCTTTTAGACATTAGTTTAATACATGTGTAGCCCAAAGATTAATTGCCGCAAGTCTACATTCCACCAAACGGTGTTCGGAATCTTTGTTTTTCAAAAATAAGTTTTAACTACTTATAAGTAGACTAATGACATTTGTAAAAAATTATATTTGTAATGTCTCAGCGATATTGAAATGAGTAATTCCAACGTTTCGTTCGGCAATCTGGTCCGAACTTCTTCAGGGAAATTAATCAAAATTAACATAACAGACTAATGAATAATCTAAAAAATTAATTTTCGCCGTTTTGCTTTCTTAATTCCATTTAGTATGTGTTCAAAGTACGTACAGATATATTGATTGGTGAGTTAAGAAAACAATCGATTGAAACTTACAACCTACGAGAGAGTGATTTCATTAATCACGGTTTATACTTACCACCAGAAGGTGGAAAGAAAGGCAAATTCCTACAAGATGAAAGAACAATATCTGATTATCCGCAATTAGTAGCTATAAAGTTATTCGATGGAAATGATGGTGAATGTATAGTGCATGAAACAGAAACGAATCAAGGCGACAACAACACGAATGGGAGTAAATCTAAAGATCCAGTATTATTAGAGGTAGGTGAATGAACTAAATATTTTATAATATTCTTTATATTATTCACTTATGAGTTCAAGGGCTTGGGTTTCTTCTAGTCTGAAGTCGTTAGACTCGATCTACCTGCATACCGGATGGTATCGCCACTCACTTCCACTATTCAGCTGGAGATACTGTTGAGTCTGATACAGTGGAGATCTTCTGCTACTTATTGGAGCAGTATACTAAAGTGAATAAACATAATGAATGACTAACAGAACATTTAGGGCGTCGGTGGTTCAGTGGTACGACGCTCGCCAACCGCTCACGTGGTCCAGGGATCGATTCCCGAACGACATTAAACGGAACATTTAAATTCAACTATACTTTCTTTCTCATCGAAAGAAGACAAACTGGCTGAATGGCTTCCTGATGGCTTTCATCAGCCTGCATCTATGCGTATAAGTATCTGTAACGATTGGATTTTTATTTTCCAGGATATGGTTGCTAGCTCCAAGTCCTTCCATATTTTTCTGGGCTCAGGAGCGACCAGTGAACTGAACGATGATGAGGCATCAAAGGGAGGCAGGCAGCAAGTATTCTGAAATCATTGTGGATATATGCTGCATACAGTATACAGAACAAGACTGGGGTTACCATTAGTATCAAGTCAGCTGGTGCTTTTGAACGGTTCAGAGACTTGGCACAGATTTTATCAAGAGCACCACCAACAGGCTTCAGACTTTGATTACTCGAGATCAGATGACTAAAAAGAATAAGCGAAATGGAACTTCGGTGTAGAACCAGTCAGGAACCTATCGCCCAAGAAGCATCCCGAAGTAAATGGAAATGGACGACTGAACATAGGCTGAAGAAACCATTGACTGATATCCCTCGCTGGGCCTTCAAGTGGAGCAGGAATACGAAAAAAATAGCCAGGTATTGATTGTAGGGTGACAGTAGAAGACTGTAGAATACAGCATGAAAAGGACGTCTGTCTTTGTGGCCCTGTAATCTGCTCAGAACCTAAGGGAATAATAAAAAAATTTTCTATGAGAACCAATATGAATTGGAGAATTTAAGCAAAGTAGCTGAACAGTCGACGAGCTGACCCAATAACTTCAAGGTTTCAGGTTTGATTGAAAATATTAATAATTACATTTGAATAAAGTAAGAACAACAGATTTTGTGGAACAATATGCCACAACCAGTGTTTATTTCGTTGGCTTCTCATCAGTTACTGCTTGTAGACCAAATAAATTATTATTAAGCTCATATACAGAAAAGTTTTAACATACTTGCAAATTTTACATGATGTCAGTTAACGACAGGAGGTTTCAGACTTAGTGAACAGTGCTCAGAAAATTACTCTTGTATAGTTTTTACACAGGCAGTTCAAGTTTAAACAAAGTAAGCATATGCATACAGTTGTTGGTACTAGATGGTTGGAGGCAATCGGCAGGAAGCCTTGGACCTGGGTTTCGTGCTAGTTAGCAGTCATCAGAAAGGCGTATCTGCAACCTTGAAGGAACTGATGTCCCTTCTGAGATTCGAACCCGCATCACCCAGTGCTGCAGTCAGAGACGTTACCACTGAGCTATTCAGGCTCGCAACTGACCTCCTGTAGGACTGTATTGGATATTTTTGATTGGACACTAGTCAGTAACTAGTGTAATGTGTCTAGTCCTATCTTCGGTGCAGACTGAAACCTAGGTCCAAGGCTTCCTGTGGCCGATTGCCTCCACCCATCTAATACCAACAATTCACAGTGCACCGTAATGGCGAGCCACCTAGCATGGTGGCCACATTGCAACCATGACTGATAGAATTCAGTCTGCACCGAAGATAGGACTAGACACATTACACTAGTTACTGACTGGTGTTCAATCAAAAATATGCATACAGTGTTAAGCGAGTTACGTAATAGGGAGGAGAGGTGCGTATGATGATGAGTGACTACTAGACTAGGTAACAATGTACTGAGTTCAGCTCAAATCAGGAGACAAGCAAAATTACACTTTATCAGAGGAAGGAGTGAGGTTAAAGCCAAATGTTACGTAATCAAATGAAAGAAAGGATAAAGAACAGAAAGAAGGGCACACCTTCGATTTTCTGAACATATATGAAGAAAAGCCTACGTCTCAAAGAAACAAACGTTTATAATAGTACCATTACCAGGCATCTCCTTGATACGGGTCATGAGGTGGAAATCACGAAATCCTCTAAAATTATCAATAGACAGTGGTGCTCAATTCTTCTCCAGTTTACCAAAGCAACTTCTATCGAACGCTTGAAACCCAGTTTATGTGTTCAGAAAGAAGCAGTTATCAGTCTTTCTTTCCCCTGTCTGGTGACTGGATGTCTTTATGCTCTCTCTCATTTGATTACGCAACATTTGGCTTTAACCTCACCCCTTTCTCTGATATAGTGTAATTTTACTTGTCTCTTGATTTGAGCTGAACTCAGTACATTGTTACCTAATGTATTATTCACTCATCGTCTTACGCATATTTCGTCTTTATCACGTTGCTCCTATACTATTGTATGGATACATTTGCTTCGTTTAAACTTGAACTGCTTGTGTAAGAACTATATAAGCGTAATTTTCTGAGCACTGTTCACTAAGTCTGAAACCTCCTGTCATTAACTGACATCATGTAAAATTTGCAAGTATGTTAAAAATTTACTGAACATTAACTTAATGATAATTTATTTGGGCTGTAAGCAGCAGTTATTGAGAAGCCAACGAAATTCATAAAGAGGAATTCATGTTTGAAGTTTCTGAATAATTACATTGACAAAAATGTTTCGCCCTCAGGCACAAATCAATTTAATAGAGATATATCATCCTGAAAGACTGTGTAAGGTAATTTATACCTATCAGACTGTTAATGGTGCAGTGAGTGATGGTCAGATGGTGAGACAACATTCATACCAATAACCTCCATGTTACCATATCGGCGCTACTTAAGTTTCGCCCTGTATCTCAATGGCTAACATATCCGTCATTTCACCGCAGTCCTTATGGTTAATGACTACCTGCCGTATGCATGAAAGATACCTCCCAGTCCACTTATCATCATATTGATAGCGACTCCGCCAAGTCTGGAACCCTGAGTCTATTGATTTGAACTCCAGGGTGCTGCGTCATATACAGCTACGAATCCTAAAAAGGATGAAATACACTTCCCACCTTCCGCTACTAGCTACCATGAACCGAATAAAAAATATATACACCTTCAGACATCGTCTAAGCTTCTAATCTTCAAAAGAAACGGAAGTTTATTATGGAGTTAGTCACTGAAAAGTCCAGTGTAACGTTTCAAGTGAGGACATGAGTAAGAAAAGGCCGTCAACTTACTATCACCGATGATATTTCTGACTGTGGTGGACTAGATCATGCGACAGATCGTGAAAGATGAGCAGACGACAAAGAGACTTTATAAAGGGCTGGGTTTCGTGGACACAGACCAGACAAACTCAAAGATATGCTAGCAGTATCCAACAAATTTTCAAAAAAGGCACTGAAGACACGAATTCAAGTGAACATAGAAAAGATGGAGGTGATAGAAAGAGCCAACCTAAAATAACATGCACCAATCACCATAAACCAGAAAAGTTTAAAGGTGGTCATCTCTTCTACGTATCTAAGCAACATCTTTCCAACTAAAGGTGGTAGATATGAGGATTTCAAAGCCAATCTGGATAAAAAAACAAGAAAGGCGCTAGTTTCTCTGAACTTAATATGTAAATCAGCAGCATTAAGCACAAAGAACAAGATCCAAATACGGTATGTCAGCCATCGAAAGCATGCGTTACCGAACGGCTGGAGACTTTCACCGGTTGATATCTTCTGCCGACCAGTGAGGTACACCTAGTTGACTATGAAGACAGATAGTTATCTGTGTTGTTGGATGATGATAGCGCTATGCTTGCACTAAATTAAGTACAGGATACCGTCCCAGTGGTCGAGTGATAATGTCTTGAATCCGGTCTCCAGTTTAGTTATGCGTACCTGTTGTATACTGCCTGTATAAAGTAACTGGTTAATCAGTTACAAAGAAAGTTATTGACAGATTAGAGTGAATTATGTCTGTAGTGCAAAACGAACTTGTATATTAGTTTCAATTACAGGCGGACGGAACTGATGAGGATAGCATCAAAGCAGTGAGGATCGGGAAATCAAGGCAAGCTTTCATTACTCTTCAGTCTGTGTGAAGATCAACAACAATCAGAATGAAAAATAAGATCCGGATTTCCAACTCCAATGTGAAGTCTAGTCAGTGGTACTCACTATACGGATCAGAGACTTGGTGCTGCGCCGCGTCACGAAGGGCACTCTGAACAAACTATAGACCTTCATCAACAGTTGTCTTCGCTCGGTACTACTCAAGATCAGATGGCCAGCCAGGAAATATCAGCAACAGTGATCCCTGGGAGCAAACCAATGTAACAGGCACCAAATGTGCAACAAATATGCAGGAAGAAATGGAGGTGGATTGGCTGGCCATACTCTGAGGAAACAAACCACCAAGTGAGCGACATCACACGCCAGGCCAACGCTCGAGTGGAACGCGAATGGAACGGGAATCGGCTAGTTGGTCGTCAGTGCGAGGGTGACATGGAGAAGGTCATGTCTAGAGCGGATGAAAGCATGTGGTCTGACGTGGAGCCAGGTGATGAAAACGTTGGTGGAGAACCGAACGCAGTGGAGACGTGCGGCTGAAGCCCTATGTTCCTCTAGGAACTAAAGGAAACAATAATAATTTTAGTGTTCCAATTATTAGCAGGATTGTCACATACCCTTTTACAAATTGCAACGGTTCCAAATCAGTCTATACATGAAGTCATAGCCTTAAATTTCTGAAAGATGATGAGCTAAGAAGAAATAGATGTCGAGTACGTCTCAGTTGGTATTACATCTCCAGCGCATGTTGGCTTATAGCTACAACCTGTCTAAAAACACACTAACAACTTAAGACTTTGTTTCATGCCTTAATCCAATCTAATCACTTTAGGTTTTCTTCCTTGTTTCGTTCTGCTAAAGACTCGTCAGTAGTGCTCATGTCTGTTGTGTTCGGTGGACAGCTGAGCATTTCAGTCTAGTGAATTGAATTTATTAGAAAGATCTCAAATAAACCGTTTTGTTTTCTAACTTATTAGAATATTCTATAAAAATTTAGTCGACATTTCACAAGTTCTTTTGTACACTATGTTTTTATCATTGCATATGCAGCTGTTGCCGAAGGTTCGATTTGTTGAAGAATATCGTACAGAAGGACCTAAACCATCTAAACGTATTCAATCGAAAGTGAGTGTTACGTCAGTTTAATTCTTTTTTCTTTCAACTAACGGTAATAAATATTAAGTGTGAAATATATATGTATATGAAAATAATAGCTCTGTTTGCTTGATAGTGGAATACAAAAGTCCCATTTCATCGTGTTTAAGGTTTCATTAGGTAAATGTGCCTCTATCCCTAGTGATTGATTGTATTTTCTCTAATGCTCTTTGAATTCACAAAGTATTCTTTACTCGACTAGCGAGTCACGAAAGTCACCTCTTATCAGATCCGTATCATTTATCACATATAATTGATTTTTATATCGGACCAAAATCCTCACTTCTGAACTCAGGTATGAGATGGTTAGCAGGAAAAATCTGTGATGCTGAAACAAAAACCAACAAATATGCAACAGGAGATTCTTCCCCCTGTCAGCCAGTAATTTGGTTGGACATATTAGTATCAAAGCATTCGTACTTGGGATTAACCTCGTGTAGGGTTGCTCAAGGAAACCTGATCACCAAGGAGAAGAGACAAATCAAACAATGAATGGGCTGAGCATTTTACAGGACTCTTGAATCGACCATCAACATCAATTCGCCCAGAAATACTACCACAACCAACAGCATAGACGGATATGCCAGTGGACACCACTCCTCCTACGAAAGAAGAAAAGCTGAATGCGATCAAGCCACTGAAGTCCAAGAGGTAAGGCAGCAGGACAAGACGGCATTCCTCCCGAAGCACTGAAGACTGCCTCAGAGGTTACGGCAGATATTCTCACTCCATTATTGCAAAACGTTTTTGAAAGTAGGAAAGGTATGTACTGATTGGAAGAAGGGCTACCTCGTCAAACTGCCAAAGAATGGCGACTTTTGCCTCTGCAGGAACTGACTGGCGTGGAACAATGCTTTTGTTCACCCACACCAAGTAAAATACTAAGTCACATCATCCTGGAGAGAATAAGGGATGCACTGGATATAGAAATCCGCCCGGAACAAGCTGGATTCAGGAAAGGCAAATCATGTGCTGATCGAATTGCAGCTCTACAAATCGTCATCAAACAAAGCATAGAATGGCAGTCAAACCTCTACCTCAACAAATTCATCGACTTCGAAAAGTGTTGACCGAGAAGTCATTTGGAAGCTACTTCAACGTCATTCAATAGCTGACAATGCCACGTGTCCGGTGATCTACAACAAAAATCTCAGTGATGCATTCGAAGTGAATACAGAGGTAAGACGAGCTGGCCATCAGTTATCACCGATGATATTCTTAACTGTGGTGGACTGGATTATGAGTCTGACTGTGGTTGGGAGCGAGGAGACAGGAATACCCTGGTTGACCAATAAGAAGACTCTAGGTTCTTCTATACGGGTCAGAAACTTGCACTGCGCGTGTGTCACGACAATGATTTCCAACAGGCCAATTCGGAATTTTATCAATAGCCGCCTCCTCTGCATCCTGAAAATCAAATAGCCGTCTGGCCAGAGAGAGTCGGCAACAAAAAAAAATCCGGCAACAGAACAAATCAAGAGCCTGTCGCTCAACAGATATATAGGAGAAAGTGGAGATATATCAGGCATACACTGAGTGGGCCACCGAATGGCATCGCACGCCAGGCCCTCGAGTAGAATCCAAGTGAGAAATGATGAGTGGGCCGTCCTACGGTGACATGGAGGAGATCGTGTGAGTGAGTAACATATGAGAGAGTTTGGGCATTAGTGGAGCCGGCCAGCTGAAGAGGATGGCAGAAAACGGAACAAAGTGGAGATGTGTTGTTGAAGCCCTATGTTCCACTCGCAACGCAAGGGAATAATAATAATAATAAAATAGGATTGTATCGGAAACCTGACTAGTTACAAAAGGCGTAACCCATGATCACTGCCTACTAGTTAAGTTAACAGTGTGCTCATCAAGATCAGTTACGTCCCAGTAATCATTAAATTATATTCTACAGGGGGTCGGTCTTCAGCTTGTATTTACCCGGTAATAACGTCACTGATTACACCACTGGATGGTGTCATTTTGAATCTCCTGGAGGGGAACGAGTTCCTCCAAGTCTCCGGCTTGCTATGAAGTTCCAGTAAGCAAGAAACTAAGGCTTAAGGCTTCCTGTTGATTGCCTGTAACTAATTGATGTCAAATAAACGTATGCTATTGTATGGCAAGTCAACCAGCTCAGTAGTCACATTTGAAACTTGAATGATAAAAAGGAGTCTGTTTGAAAAATATGATGTATTCACGGAAGACATTTTGATCGGTCTTATGGCACCTTCCATGGTATATAGCTACTCATTTCAATTATTCAGTAGTACATAGCATCTTGTACTTAATAATAATAATAATAATAATAATGATTTACTTTATTCCAAAAACAGTACTTGTGATACACAATGGAATTTGCAGCATTAATCACAATATTGCATCTAATTTCCTCAAATTATAAATAAAGTTAATCACACAGAAAATTTTTCTACATTTACAATAAGGTTAATATAAAAAAATAAAAAACATGCAGCATATTAAATGGAAATAATAGTAATGATAACAGCTAAGGTAATAATAATAATAATACAAGTGAAAATTGCCGTGGGCTTGTTTCACACAGTATTGTCGATGCGGTATACAAATCCTTGCATGATTAAAAATATTGAATATGATGTTCTGTTTACATGATATGGTGAGGGAAAAAACAAAGATTACAGCAGTCATAGAGATAAGTTGGTGTTTGCAGTTATGGAAGTAAAAACAAAGAATCAACAGGACCATAAATATAATAGAAATAATAAAAGTAAAACTTGAAGGTATATGAAGATGGATGGAGGAGATTGTTTATTTACTAGATGAAAAAAGGTTAGTCAATTCTTGCCTGACGCTATTTTCATCACATAAAATACGTGCCAAGTATGGTATCATAGAATTTTTATACTTAGATGTGCGAGCATACAGTTTTCTGAAGTTACTTCTTGTTCTACCTGAGGATATGCAAGGTGAAAGCTGAGGGTGAAGTGGATGCTCCAAGTCAGACAAAATCCCTTTAGCAAATTTACTGCACGAAGTCAAATGCCTATCGACAACGACGTTAACTATGTAGTCCACTGGGACACCACTCATCCTACTGACAGTCTTCAGCATTCTACGAATTGTGACAAAGTCCTTTTTAAGCAAACCAGGAAAGAATAAGGGTGAACAATAAAGAAGAATAGGTAGGATGCAAGAGTTTATGAACTGTAAGAGGAGGGGTTGAGTTATACCCGAGTGCCTTAACTTCCTAATGTAAAATGTCAGGCGGAATATTTTACTGGAGATCGCTGAGACATGAAAAGACCAGGAGAGATCAGAAGAGAGAATAAGTCCAAGATACTTAATTTCTGATTCAATTCTTATATCATTGTCATCAATCTTACAACTGTCATGAGAATCGACGGCTTCTTTTAACTGTCGTTTACATCTTAAGCTGAAATTAACAGTTTGACATTTAGAAGGATTCAGTTTAAGACCATTAGACTCAGACCATTTACTGACTTCCGACAGAAAGCTATTTATTTTGGTACAATCTAGCTCGCCTAGTTGATGAAAATATACTTTATCAAATAGATCACATATTGCGCTCTCAGTTTCTTAAGGAAAATGTTGCGAAACTTCACCTTGAACTATGTAAATTGCCATATCCCTAGTTCACCCTCGTAGTTATTCAGAAATCGAGTAATATTAATTCATTCAGCTCTCTAAGTTGAGTTGAACTAGGTAAAAAAGGAACTCCTGAGCATGGCCCCCAAAGAACGAAATGGTAATCTGACATTTATTATAATAATTATTATCATTCCCTCGGGTTCCGAGTGGAAAGTAGGGCTTCAACAACACATCTCCACTTTCTTCTTTTTTCTACTGACATCTTCGGTTGGGTCCACGATTGACCATAATCTCTCATCTCTTTCTCCTCCCCAAAACGATCTCCTCCATGTCAACCTCACATCGATAACCCACTCCCCATTGGGATTCCACTCGAGCGACCGCCTGAGTTGAGCGCTATGTCACTGGACAGCCTCCTTCCTCAATGTACGCCCGATCCATTTCTACCTTCTCCCATAGATTTGTTGAGCGACCGGCTCTCGCCTGTTAGTTGGTTTGTTCTTTGTGGTCGTTTGATCTTCAGTATGGAGCCAGCCAAGGAAGGTGGCAGCTGTTGATAAAAGTCTGTAACCTACTGGAAATCCTTTTCTTGATGCGACCGCCAGGTTTCTGACCCATATAGAAGAACTGAGTGACTGACTTCACATTTGTGTTGACTGGAGTACGAATCATGTTCTTTATGCTGACTAAGTCAATTCAGAAGATTTCCAAACTTGATCGATGAAGTCGTATCTTGCCTATCCGATTCTGGCTGGCTCGTGTTGACATCTTAATCCATGCTGTCCGACTGCCTGTGGTTGAAACCATGCTTGCTAGATAAGTGCAGGATGGAAGTAACCTGTGTCAAATCTCATTCGTTAATGGTGATTGGTGCTGGTTGTTCACCTGGAGTCCTATCGTCACCGCAAGGTAGCTTCTTCAGTCAGTTTGTTTGTTATTGCCTGTAATTCTTTGAGTTTTTGTCACATTTGACATAAATCATCCAATTTCAAAAACTGGATCTTCTAGAGTCTTCGTATCAGTGGTCCAAAGTATTCCATCATCCTCGCTGTCCATAGTGTGAGCAATAATTTGTGCTCGAAAAGTCATCAGTTAATATTACTGTACAACAAAATGAAATCATACCCATAATAGAGCCAACTGAAGATGATAGCGGCAGAAAATAGAAGAAAGTGGCTAGGGGTCGCGCTATGTCGTGAATTGGCAGAAGTTAGAATTCATGGACCATTGGATCGGGTCCCAGTGGCTTAAGGGTATACGAGCTCGCCTTGTAACCAGAAGGTCCTGGGTTCGAATCCCGGTGGGTGCGTACTGATGAAGGGTCCCAAACTAGGACGAAACTGCTGTCCAGTACTCCCAGGTTTTCCAATGGTTCTCTAGCTAATGTCAGCTCATGATGAAAATCCTGTAACCAATCAAATCCCTACAAACCAACACTTGAAAAAGTGGAGATGTGTTGTTGAAGCCTTATTTTCCAATCGGAACCAAACGGAATAATAAGATAATAGTTGGATAGGAAACTGGAAGAGTCTTAGAAATGTATCCGACAAGGACCGAACCGTGGTCCAAGTGAGTTACTGAAGAATATTCGAGTACTGAATAACTAACGCTAAAGTTACACGATATCTATCGCATTTATTCTAATATAGCTCCACTGTCTCTTTTTGTATGTGATCTGAAATGATGTTTTGAAGCTACTCGTTTACGATTCACTATCAATAATAGACTTTGCTAAAAAAAACGTAGCTGACAGTCTTCTACGTAAATCTGTTAACGTTCGAGAGAGTTATTTTATTGGTATTAGATGGTTGGACGCAATCGGAAGGAAGCCTTGAACCTAGGTTTCGTGCTAGTTGGCACTCATCAGCAAGGTGTATCTGCAACCTTGGAGGAACTGATGTCCCCTCTGAGATTCGAACCCGCGTCACCCAGTGCTGCCTACAGTCAGAGACTTACCACTGAGCTATTCAGGCTCGCGACTGACCTCCTGTAGGACTGTGTTGGATATTTTTGATTGAACACTAGTCAGTAACTAGTGTAATGCGTCTAGTCCTATCTTGCAAACATGACTGATAGAATTCAGTCTGCACCGAAGATAGGACTAGACACATTACACTAGTTACTGACTAGTGTTCAATCAAAAATAGAGTTATTTTAAAAGTTTACTTTGATTCATCTTTGATCTTTAGATAATTTTAAATATTCCCATTATTAATATTAGAAGAAGACACATATGAGCGAACAATATTATTGTTTTCAATTAGATCTTCTTCAGACTTTACTCTAATTTACACAGATTTATATATATAAAACAGAATTTAACCGATAACCGTGAGTTTGTGGATCAAATAATAATAACAATAATATTGGGGTAAATGTTTTGAACGTCATTAATAACGATGATTATAATGATAACAAAATATTGATAATAAGGTTTATGCAGGTGGCGATAAGAATAACAAAGGTAGTAATGCATATGTGTATATGTAGACAATTCAATAAATAAATAAATTAGGTCAAATCTTAGAAGCTACGTAATACTTAAGGGAGGTGAAGTGGACAGATAATCAGAGTTTAAATAAATATCATAAAAGTATGAGGAAAATGGAAAATAAGAAAGGGTAGTGGGAGGGTTTTGATTTGAACTAACCTATGCCATTGGAGAGACAAAGACGGAACAAACTTCTTTTGTGTGCAAAGACTAGGAGTGTTCTCTCGAATTCCCACAGCTTCGACTATGTGTAGGGCCAAGCAAAATCTAAAATAAGTTCTATTTTGTCTCCTTAGTTTGGTGATAGAGGTTACCAAGTAGACGAAAGAAGTGCCTTCAGAGTTATCTATCACATTCAATCCAGCCTTTCGAATGGAATTCGAACCCGTCTTTTACTCATAACCGAAGCTGTAGGAACTAGAGATAACATTCCTAGTGTCTTTGCGTACAAAAGAAGTCTGTTCTACCTTTGTGTCTCCGTTGGCATATGCAAATTCAAATCAAAATCCTCAACCCTTTGATATTTTCCATTTCCTTAGTAATTTTATGATATTTATTTAAACTCTGATTATCTGTCCACTTCACCTCCCTTAAGTATTACGTAACTTTTTAGATTTGACCTAATTTATTCATTTATTGAATTGTCTACATATACACATATTACTTACAACCTTCGTTATGCTTATCGCCACCTACTAGCATTAACAATAATAATAATAACATCTTTATTCTGGACAGTATTTACAAAATGTATAGAAATTTCAGAGGAGTTTATTGTATGATATTTTACCTTCATACAATTTCTTCAAGTAAAATGTTAATTAGCTGACAGTATATCCTGTGACACGATGGTCTCGGAACTGAAGCACAAACCGTTCATTCCGTTTTGTCTCCTTCATGAAATCCACAATATCTGGTTTAATGCCAATTGTAATATGTTCAGAAGTACATTCTGAGACCCAAGGACATAAGTGAGGAAGTGTTCTCTTATGTGTTGGAACATATTGCCATTCACAATCAGGCCATTCCTAAAGTGTAGTTGGAACTTGAGAATCACAAGCTTGTATACATTTTCAATTTTATTTATTATTTATTTTATTATTTTATTATTTTGATTACAGCTTGATGCCACACCGTCTTTTCAGTACAAGTATGGAATTTTCAGCATGGATATCGGTAGCCCAAATTTTACAGGCTGATCATGGATATCGGGTGTGCGTCGGCAGGGGGTCGAACCCCGGACCATGTGCATGGTCGGTGAGTGTCCTAACCACTGTGCCATCGACGCACACGAGATTATATAATGCCATCAGAGGGGTCATAATATCTCAGTCGACTGAAACAAACCGAACGAGAGAAAATATATACAATGGAGAGATGGAATTTTTCGGTAGCCCAAGTTCTAAGCATGCTGCCGAATTCTTGTTATCATTATAACCATCATTGTTATTTGACGTCCAAAACATTTAACACATTACCGTTATTATTATTTGATCGACAAACTCACCATCATTGTTTAAATTCTTTTAAATATAAAGCTATATAAATTAGACTAAAGCCTAAAGAACATCTAATTGAAAACAACACTATTGTTTGTTAATATGTGTCTTGTTCCAATAGATAACTGTTCATTTTATTTTTGTATCTTTTAAATAAAATTATAGCACTACCAGAAACGTTTATTGTCTGCAATTAAACGAAATGATATTTCACGGGTTACAGATCTTCTCAATCAAGGTTTGGATCCAAATTTTCAATATCCTTCAAATGGAGGTAAATTTAAACCAGGAAAATACGAAAAAAGTTTCTGAATGATTGACCATTTCTTTACCTTTCCTCAAATTTCATTTAATTTATCAAAGATTTGTTCAGCAGTTATTGCCCTTATTTGCAATGATTTTATTTTCGGTGAATCGAAAAACATCAAATTAGCTGATTAGCGTTAATTTATTGTCAAATTCCTGAAATCTACCAATCAGAGAACGTATAATGACCACCTACGCACCTACGGGCAACTTGCACATTTTCTGATTGGTTGATTTCAGTAGTCTGCTGGTTCATTAGGCCCAATCAGCTGATTAATCTCATTAATCACTACTGTCGTATTTATATGACATAAAACGGTATTTAGTAGCACTGAAAATTACTCATTGGAAAAACAATGTGTTAAAAAAATATAAGCATGATCTAGTAGGGGGTGGCACAGTTGAAGGGGACGAAACATAAAAGAAGTTTAAACTCCGTAAACTTTATAAAAAATAATGAAAGAGGAGATAAAGTGAAGTGGAATGAAATTAGCCGACATAAATAAACGACATTACATTCACTAAAATAAAGAAAATGGTTTTAACACGACATCTTTAAGTGTTGCTTTGCATGGATTTCATAAGTTGCAGGTTTCATTATGAGCTGACATCAATTAGATAATTGCTGATAAACTAGGGAGTACCAGACAGATGTTTCGCACTGGTTTTGAACTTTTCAGCAGTATACACTCACTTGGGTTTGAATCCAGGAACTTCTGGTTACAAGGTGAGCTTGTAGACCATTCAGCCACTTTGACCCAACTTCTGTCAATTCGTAATATATATTGTACAACTGCCAGCCAGTGTTATTGGCGAGCAACTCTCCTTTTATCTGACCTCGTGGACTCCCAGCAATTTGATTGGTTACAGGTTCGATCAAGTTTTAAATCCATGGTTTATGTTGGCGTCCGTGTAAATCTAGTGCTTTGGTTACACTAAAGTGGAGAAAACATAAGTCTTTCCAACAACTAACTTTAATGCTATAGACAGTTAGAAAAGATCAATCATGTAGGGCCAAATAACACGACTGATGAAAATGTACAGAGGTAGAAGACTTCCTTATCAATTAGTTAAGTTAGTGTTCAGCTATGCACTTTCGTAGAACACGCTTACAAAGGTCAGTGTAACCAGCTCCACAGGATCATGTGAAAGATTAGACGCATATAGAGGTGGATATAAGCAGTAGTTTGTCCTTCATGTACCACCGAATCATACTATAGTTCGAGAAAGTATACCTGATACCTTCGGGTTTGCGAATTTGAATTACTTCAGTACTAGTATCCCCTTTGAATGCCAGACTCATTAATGTCTTCTTTGACGCAGTGTTTTCAATAAACCTATCGAATTCGTTATGTAACAGCATTATGCGATGGTTTCTGAGTTCTTTGTCAACTACATTTTTAGAGCACATTTTCAGAACTCTGAAACCTGGAGAATGGAGGCATCTAACAGATTAATTTATTGTACTACCCTGTACACGTTGTTTTTCGGGGTGGATTAGTTGCTGCTATGAGCAATGATGTTTTCTTTTTAATATGATAAGTAGTAATATAGCCTTCGCTCCCTATTTTTCACTTTTTAAAAGCTGTTACTCAGGCAGACCAAAGTGATCAGAAGGTTTCAAATTCTGATCTCTCAAATGTCTGAGTTCTTCGGCTCTGGCCTGCACTGTTATTACTCAGTATCAGTGTACTTGGGGATACTGGCCGAACAGTAAATGGGTTCACCTCATAAGTTGAGCGTCCTGAGTTAAAACCTCGACGGAGTCATACATGTATACTGCTGAAAATTCCAAAACTAGAACCAAAAAGGTGTCTAGTTTCCTACTGGTTTTAAGTACTGCTGTAACTGATCTCAATTCATGATCTAATGCGTTTGGTTTGCATGTATGTGAGGCGGAATATTAAAATACAATCAATCGACGGGAAAATCTAAAATTCCATTAAATCAGTATGAGCCATTGCAAAAGAGGTGGCTCTCGTGGCCCAAGTGGCCTGGTGGATTACGCTTTGGCGTATGAAACTATGGGCACTGGGTTTGAGCCCCAGTGGGAACATCATCACTCACTGGGAAATGCAGGCACATCCAGATGACGAGTCCCAAATAGGACGAAATGTGCATCCGGGATTCAACTGTTAGTCACCATCCACCAGTTATATTCACATTATGATTATGTGTAGAGCTTCTGATGGATTATTTCATATTCTGGTAGTCTTCACAGTTAAGTATCCTGAAGTATGGGGAGAAAGAATGGCGTATGTAGCAAATTGTGATCCAGTTTGCTTGTTAAACGGGGCGAATGCATAGCTATCTGTGTGACATATGGGATCCCCTAAGAACCGTCCGTGACTGACTTCACATTCTCAGAGTGGGATCTCTTTTTTTTTCAAGAACACGTATCAAGATGTGACGCCTGGCTTCACTTCTCAAATGTCTCACTACTTCGCTAAACACTCGGTCACACATTATCCCTTGACAACAAACCAAACTGTAATGTAGATCAGTCTTACAATGGCAATTTTCTTCACATCAAAAACGAAGTTAAATGCTGTACTCTATCTTACTCTTACCTTTTTCTCTCTGTCGTCTAGTTACACCACTGGGATGTGCTGCGGAGTTATCTGATCCCCGTGAAATCATTTTACAGCTGGTCAATTGTGGCGCACATGTAGACTATCGTGATTCTGATACAATGACAGCGTTGCACAGAGCAGCTGTTTGTGGAAATTTAAAAGCAATCGAGGTGTGTTTCTTTTTTAAAAAATCGATTATTGATTTATTGATTTTTTTTTATATTTGTACAGTTGTATTGTTTGTTGTACTGGTACTGAGTGCTGTTGTATTCTTATTGGAGAATATTGAGGTGTTGTTGACCAGTCTCTTGAAGCCAATCAGAAATTCATTCAGAGGTTGGTGGAATTCAAGGCTTACAGATGGTGTCCGGAAAAAACAAACATTAGAAACTCTGTCTGAGATTCTTTATAAGACCGAAGACAGTGAGAATGGTATTCAGGCTTGCAAGATAATTCCGTTATTAAACTCCTAGTAATTTGATTTTCCTTATACCTTCCTTTTGCATTCTGAGTGGAACTTTGAAGTACCATTACCAATGTGTTGTATTTACTTCACAGTCCAGGCTGTCGAAGGCCTTTTCAAGGTCGATTAGGTTGAGACAGAGATTTGACCGCCATTCTATGCTCCGTTCACTTATGATGCTTAGCGTTGCAATTTGCTTTTCTTGAATGCAGCTTGTTCCGGTAAGAATTTTGCAGCCAAAGCATCAGTTAGTCTATCCGAGATGACGCGACTGAATATTTTGCTCTGGGTGGATAGTGTAACGACAGAAGAAAAGGGCCAAGCAACAGAACCTTTGTTGATAAAATCAACAGATATTTATAGATTTTTATGTACATCATTATTCGTTATTTTAGCAGAGAAGCAATGTCTTCTGATCGGTTGTTTTCCTGCTGAAGGTTATTCTGTACTGCTTGTGACCGTTGCTTACAAAGTTATCCAAAAGTCTGCGAATCATATTTGCACACGTTAAGTCTTCTGTGATTGGTTGTTCCTCAAGGTTAAGCCTTTTTTTTTGCTTGATCCCGAGGCTGACCGGCAGCTTAACCGGACTTCTACTGGTATGACTGTGGCGACGGTATCAGTAGAAGATAACTTGGGTCGTCACACCGCTCCTTGAGTAGCTCCGTTGACAGTAGCAGCGGACGCCAACAAAATTTTTCAAACCTCACAACCTACTGATACATTGGCGACGGTATCAGTGGGGGCTGGACTTAGTCGCCATCATTCACCAATCCAAACCCATGAACCCAACAAATCCAAGAAATATCATGCCGGATCGGCCGTGGCCCGGATTAACAACGACCGCGCTTTCTGCTGCCGTGTCACAGGGCAGAAGTGATAAGTACACTACTGAGACACACCAGGCCGCGTGTGACCGGCCTCAAGCAGATGTCCCCTGGGCTCTGCGGTCACGCAACACTAACCTTTCTTCCATTTCAGGTACCCGAAGACGAAACTCAGGCGTGAGGCCAGCAACCCCACCCTGTAAACAAACCTGCTACAGAAACTTCACCATGAGCAATCTCCTTGCGACAAAAGAAAAAGTCTGTGTGGGGACATGGAATGTCCGCACTATGTACGAGACTGGCAAAGCTGCCCAGATCGCCAGCGAGATGAAAAGATACAGAATCCAAGTGCTGGGAATATGTGAAAGCAGATGGAATGGAAGTGGACTCACCAAATTATCAACGGGAGAGTCAGTGATCTACTGCGGTCACCCAGAAGATAACCACACGCACACCAAGGTTAAGCCTTGCTCTTGTTTTCTTCTCATGACATAAATTGGTGTCTACAATTTTGTCTTGCGGTCAGCTCTCATCACAATAAGAGTATGATTCCACACCGGTTTTTGCAAAGTCTTAAGTCTACCGTCTTTGGTAGTTTCATGAGGTAACCTTTCTTCCAAAATTTCTCTAATTTTGCTATCAGGATAACCACTGTAGTCTATAAATCAGTTTCCTGTACTTCCGGGGAGATTCCACGGCTTTCGTCAGCCCTATGACATTGAAAACTTATGCTTTTATCGGAGAATAATTATTCACTGGTACTTCTGTGTCAGTTAGTGGCAGGTTCATGAGTCCTTTGAGGCGATCAGCCCTCTGTTTCCTTCGCTTCTCCTTTATGATAATTAGGTCGCTTTCACCATCTTCCATTCATCTCACTTGTGTTGATCATTTCTCAGATCGGGATGTTTCTATCTGTATTTATAATGACTCGACGTCCCTCTTACCTTCAGCCTGTTCCATTTTAGTTAACGGTATATTGTAGAACTGCTGTTTTGTCCTTCCAAGCACTCTTCATCACTTCTGCATTCAGTGGGTTGTACACTGAACTCAGCTTCTTCTCTCTCCTCTCTCTGTCTACCTTTGTATCGGTTCACCTTCTAATTCACCATCCTTGCTTTCTTTCTTTGTTAGCTTCCACGTGTCTGGAATGGGGTCATTCCCCATTGTCTAGTCTCCCCTTGCTTTGTGGTTTATGCGGGTTGGGTTAGCTAGCCTTATATGTTCAGCCTTCCATCTTTTCCAAAGTTACCACGGGCTACGTGAGGTTTAGGAGTAGACATCCTCTAGGAATAAAATCCAAATTGTGTGAGCGTGTGGTTGAATTATCAAAGCATTTTATGTTAAGCAGGGATAGAACTCAGTGTCTTGCAGTGTGACGGCTGTTCAAGAGGAAACATTTCTCCGGCAAAACCAAAAAAATTCATCCTGTGAAGTAGCATACAGTGAGTGTTATGTCGGGTAGTGGGCAGAGTTGAACTATAGCGTTCCAGAAGTGAGAATTCTCCAATCACCTTAAACGCATGCTAGTCGTTGGCTAACAGCCCCTCTCAATATCACAGTTGAAATATCAACGCTATTCACCAACTGAGGAGCGAATTTCACCCAGACTAAGTTTTTAAGTACAGTTTGGACAGTGTGTCAACAGCTCGTTAGGGTTAGAATTGGGGTTAAGTTAAGTATTGGAGTTAATGTTAGGATCAGGGTTATAATTATAATAAGAGTTAGATTTACGGTTAGGAGAAGGATTGAAATTAGGGTCAGGATTGAGCTTAGGGTTACGATTAGGGATAGATTTAGAGTTGATGTCATTTATTTTAATTTGTTTTATTATCTACATTTTCCTGGTAAGTAGTCGTCGATCCTGTTACTTGAAACCATAGTAATCGAAATGAGGGCTATTGGTGGAAGACTGCACAACAGGATAAGGGCGATGAACCATTCACAAGAACAGCTCATCTTCACTCACATCGGTGAATACATGTACAGAAACTCGTCTAACTTAGGAACTGATACTCCTTATAATAACTAGGATGTATTTCTAAGTGATATCAGTGAAAGATACCCTGTTCAATGTGTTTTCATGCATTTTCTTGTAAATATACATCATCTTGTGTGCAAAAGTCCTCATTTTTATGATCGGTCGGCTCAAGGTCACTCGTATGTTCGCATATCTTAGGACACTAATGTTGAAGTTTGCCGGGTAGGGGGGTTTATAAAAGTGTTGAATCGATAAACTAATGTTGATTAGAAATGATAGAGAAGATTTGTAGCTCAGGTGGATAATTTTGATGTGGTTGTGTTCTCTGAGCTGGATAGTTGATTTGCGAAGCTTTCATCACCCTACTAGGTGACATCTTCAGCGCATACTTCAAATTGAAGTATGCGCTGAAGATGTCACCTAGTAGGGTGATGAAAGCTTCGCAAATCAACTATCCAGCTCAGAGAACACAACCACATCAAAATAATGTTGATTAGGCGTTTCCATATCTATGAAGATGAGCTTCATTCGCTGGAGCAATAGACTTTGACTCAGTGTATCGCAGATTCAAATACCCCACCCTCCCCCCAAAACACATACTTACTTCAACCTGAGCAACTTGATGATGCTATGATTAGCTCTCACACCCTACTTGGTAGTTCATATTCTGATATATGAAAGTTCATTTGTAGGGTGACTGATTTTCTAACAACTTGCCTTCCAGTATTATGAAAATGATAAACTTTTTTCTGAAGAGATTAAATTTATCTTACGAATGCATGCCGGGGCCACTGCTGAGCTTTATTTTAAATTACTTATCTTCTAGGGGTCAACCATTCTTACCTTAGCTAAATCCTTATGTTCTGATAACCTCCCTATTCCTGATCTACTAGTTTGACCTATGTAGTTGACCTGAATCACAGTCATTCCAAGGTATTTCGTAAATTATCTTATTTTGTCTAATTGGGTCAACCTAAAGGGTCCTTTGGCCTACAGAACTTGTCATACCTGAGTGAGTTTGTACGTTTGAATGCCACCCTAATTCCTGCTTTATTGAGAATCCTACGTAGGGATGGTTTCAGATTTCCCCTCCTTATATGGCATGATAGTACATGCCTTGTGTTCCCTCTTATTTATCTTATCATTACTTGTTTCACAACTATTTTTATTTTGCTCTCGACCTTTTCTGACCTTCCTAATGAATTTTATAGTATAGTTATTCAACACCAACGCTTCTTCTTCTCTCTGTTTCATTTCATTATTTAGGTCTTTTCTTATACTACTTGGGGCTATTGCTCGGTTTGTTAGACACTTAACTAAGCCTGCCTTAACAGTTAACGGATGACATGAATTAAAGTCTAAATATCTTTTAGAATGAAGTTATACTCTACCACAGTGCCCAAGTTTTATACTTATATCAATAAGTCAAACGGCGTACGCTGTGGATGGCCTTGGTCTCAAAAAAGTGGAAAACACAATCTGGTACTCAGATCGCTACTACTGGTTACCATGGTGAAGTGGAGACAGGAGCAAGACAAAGCTGTCCGCCTACTATAAATAATGAGCATCATGACTGTGGTGGAATGGATCATGCTACCAACTACTATTGGGAGAGGGAAGACAGAAATATGCTGGGCCGACAAGCAGACTTTAGAAACGTTGGTATTAGATGGTTGGAGGCAATCGGCAGTCAGGAAGGCCCGCCTTTCTAGTCAGCACCCAACAATCAGCAAGGCGTATCTGCAACCGCCTTGAAGCAAGTCATGTCCCTTCTGAGACCAAAACCCACGCCACCCAGTGCTGAAGCTAGAGACGTTCTTTTTGAGTCAGCTATCTAGTGGCATGGTAGTCACAGGGAAAACTTGACTGATTCAGTCGGCACCGAGGATAGGACTAGACACA